TTGTTACTTGCTGATGGGAGTACATGATGGGAAAGATTTCCTCACCTCAGAGCTTAGCTTGTTGGCCTTCACCTTGGCCTTCTCTTTGAGCCTGTAGTCAGCGTTGTAGTGAGCGAAGGCGTACTCGATGAGTGCCGCGAACACAAACACGTAACAGATCCAGAAGTAGACATCCAATGCCTTGATGGCCGACGCTCTAGGAAGGGAGGAGCGGGCGCTTACCATCAGGGTGGTCATAGTGAGAACAGTCGTAATCCCTGTGGAAAGATCCAGATGTAAAGTACAGATTAGGATGCTGTTGGTTTTTTGCCATGCTAGCAACACTGCCTAAGTATAGCTGTAGAAAGCCGCTAAAATAGTATCATTAACAGAACACACAGGCTGTGAACAGAGAGACAATATTCTGTCTTCTGCTACATTTCATTATTGATATTCATCATTTTCAAGAGGAAAAATAGATTATGTTCACAATACTGGAAGGGAATAGCACTAATGGTTTTTGATGCTTGCAGCCTTGGTGACACTTCTGGCCAGGTATCAATCTCAAATATCCACTTCTACACATAACAAATCAATATCTAATGGGCCTATTGCCATACATATTATTGAGGATATTGTGCTACTTACAGGATTAACTTTTTCCACCTGGGACATTTAATGAGCTTGTGCCATTTTCAGGACATTTACACAAGAACTCTCATTATCTAAATGTCAGTCTGCAATGAACATTAGGAAAATAAAGCACTTTTTGAACATTAAATCATTTTAAAAGGTCACAGTAGAAGCAAAAAATAAAAATATTAACCTGAAAATATACAATCTTTTTAAGTTAACTCTTGTTAAAGAACGGTCTGAAGCTCTGCACGTTTCTACAGATGAATAAACAGCCATTTTGAGGTTCCACTTTTTAAAATGTAATCTTAAACGTAAACTCAATCAAACTAATACCAACCCAAGGACACACGAGCAGGGACTGCTGTTTGGCTGATCCAAAAGGACACCCAGGACATGGCGACCAGCAATATGGATGGCATGTATGACTGTATGATGTAGACACCTCGGTTACGCCTCAGCTCGAAGCGAAGGCTGAGCCTTGGAAACCGTCCAGCTGGGAAGACAGAAAACAGATACTGTGTTTAACGGCTTTCCCGAAGAAGCTTATTATCCATTATGAAAATATCCAATTGTTTTTCACAGTCCAAGGGGCACAGACTAGTTGAAAAACAGCTTCATGCCTGGCTTCATGCATTCCTTCTATGCATAGAATATAACCACAGAAGTGCTTGAATAAAAATAAAAATCAAGAAGTCTTCGAACACAAGATCCAAGCCAAGTCCGAAACTCAAAATCGTACATTATTCATAGAACATTCCCTCACATGCAGAGGGCTTGCAAACCAGCTCTACGGGAATGAAAACCTTGAAAAACATGATGGATGCTAACCAGATTTGAAGTTCATCATCTCAGTGACAAACCGATAGTCTGTGATGGTGAACTGGGAGAGCTCTAGTTTGTCCAGGCCGTGGATGTGCTTCTGACTGTCCGACCAGTGGTACACAATGTCCTCTGAGGAGTAGCCATCTAGAAATAAAAAACTGATGTCAAGACATTTTATCTGTCCAAAGGTGCAGTTATCTGAGGGTTGTAGCGGTAATGGAGAAAGCTTGTAACATTGTAACCTTTCTTTGGTGTCACTTCACTTTGGCATGAACACGTCAAAAGGAATCCTGAGAGCATAGTTGTTCGTGAATGTGTAAAGGAGGGAAAAGATGTTACCACTTACAGCTTTCCAGGTCCAGCATACACTCCTGTTCATCCATAGGATACTTAGTCAGGTCCATGTCACAGGCCACCGTTGAAGTGATTCTAGGAACAAAACAGCCCAAATAATCAACCTATATTGTTGATTCTTTACAAATCTACTGACCAACATGTATTACTAAGAACTCCTGGTTATCATTCACATGGTTACAACTTGTCAGACCTGGTATCTTTCTAGAGACATCGCCATCCTCTTGTTACCGTAAATAATGAGGAAGAAGAAGTTGTTTAATAAGAGAAAGATACAGAAAGACCCAATACTTTGAGCTGCATTTGATGATTTTCTTTGGCAACTTTGGGAAAGTGAAAATAATCTATAACTACAATATGGACATATCAAGTAAATTGCGCATATTTAAAAAACAGGAAGTACTAATTCATGTTGCAGAAACAGACAACCATTAACATTCACTTGGAGTCGTGTTGTTGGCCAACTGGCAGATGCAATTCCGATATTCTCCTTTTATCTCCTGTGTTTGGTTTCCACCAACTTCTGAGAAAATATTTGGAAATAAAGCTTACTTTATGTTTGACTATACTAAGGAGCCAGACGCTAACTTTGCCTGCTTCATCATATGCTATTGTTAAGAGCAACAAGAGTGAACGTAAAACTAGAACAAGTTTAAAAATGCCAAAAAGCTCCCAAGAGCTAAGGGGAACTGAATAGGTGGGTGATACATCTTTATGGGATTGTTTGTTATCCAATCAGATTAGTCTTGCCTTTTGTTGACTGATTTTCGAATCATGTGTTTTGTTCTCATTGGACAGAACACGGTTTGTTAGCTTGTTTGTAATTTGAACTTTCAGCTATAATTCCATTATAGCCTCATGTTGCTTTTTTAGCATTTCTGAGGCGATCACCAAGATTCTTCTGCGTCTGTAGGTTTTGTATCATGATTTATTGGAGGAAACCAAACAATTATATGCAAGTCATTCATTCAACTCCCCCATATAGCCCAAATTGAATGATCCTTTGTTTCAGAAGCAGAATATGTAACCTCTACTACAACGATTTAACTGTGGGACTGACTGTTAATAAAGCTCTGATCAGAATCAGAAACAGGTTTATTGCCAGGAATTGCTAGGAATTTGACTTGATGTCATGGTACATACATAAAATATAAAAAACAAGACATCTCAACTATAGTATAGTCAACTCATAGTTGACTATTCAGGGTCACCTCTACATTACTCATTACATCCATTGTTGAGATAGAAGTATTGATTATAGCAGCCTGTGTTAAAATGTTCACTTGCCAGAAAAACAACAGAAAACTTTTTGTTATTTATAGCAGTTTTGGGAGGCACTGACAAGCAATGTCATTCTGCCAATAGAGACGGCAGATAAAAACACATATAAGGGATATTTGTAAAAGCAGTGACAAAGAGCATATAGTTTGTCATTTCTATCGGAGTGTTTTTATTTTTATAGCCGTCGAATGGTTTTGTTTAAAATGTCATGGATTCTGCAGACATACTGACAGTACCACTTTAGCTTCTGTGAAGATTCACCTTGATCCATTTTACCTTCACCTTTCCATATTCCCCCTCATCCGACGTCTCTTTGTACAGTCACATCAGAACATATCCCACTTTTCTTAAGGCTTCTGAAGTCACCTCAGAGAAGATATTTACTTTCAGATCATGGTATGGATCATGAGGGATTTTCAAACCCAAAAACTGCAAATAAGAAATGCCTTTGCTCTCAAATGTCTAAGGTTTTGACGGCTTTGAAGAAAAATAAAATAAGCAGGGACTTTCCTACATACAAATACAAAGATCCACATCATGGAGTGCTTTCTGCCCCCCTTGTTGTGTTGTCTGACTGTCTGAGTGTGAGAAGCAAAGACAATACTCAGTGTTCTCATACCGGCTGCTGTATAGAATGACTCCATTTGGCTGCAGGCGGATCAGCTTGTTCTCCACAGTGACATCGTGGAACCAAGCAGATTTGGCGTTGACGATGAAGGTGTCGGGTAGCCAGAGCTTGTCCACAAATCGACTGTCCAAACCCAGCGTCTTGTTGGTGTGATTGTAGGACAGGCGGTCGTCTTTCCAGCTCTGCCGCAGGTACACGGTCATGGTGTAATCCTGGCATGAACAATACAAATTCAAACACACAGACACAAACATATAGGCTGAGTCATCGGCATCGGAAGACATTCTTTCTAATACTAGTTTCAGTATTAGAAGAAGGAAACTAACTTTACATCAAGAATCTTTTTTAAACAAAATTCAATGCAAATTGTGTGGTTTAAAGTGGATCTAGCATGCTATATTTGAATAATATAGTGTAGGACCATACCTATATAAGGCATATTTATACTTTTTATTTTTCAAAATACCAAACAGATCATCCATTTTAGCCATTCGTCATTTCGCTCAATTTAACACTGTCTTTGCACGGGTTGATTCTGTGAGAACAGCACCATCTACAGGCCTGGCATATGTACAACAGCATCTCCAGCGCTTTCGAACGGCAATGTCCGTGGCTGTCTCCTCCTGATTGGTGGAGTTGGCCCAATAGCCGTAGCGCCACTTCTGTGACGTCATAGAAGTGTTCAAATCTGGATCAGTCTGTATCAGATCCGTTGCAGCCCCTTTGTAAGAGATTTGGGTACGGAGGAAAATAGAGAGGGTTTTGTTTTCTGACACTTGGTGAGTTCCCTGGAACACCGGGGACACATATTCATGTATAAAAGACGTACTAAAGTGTATTTTGCATGATAGGTCACCTTTAAAGGTGGCGCTACGGCTATTGGGCCAACTCCACCAATCAGGAGGAGACAGCCACGGACATTGCCGTTCGAAAGCGCTGGAGATGCTGTGTAGTACATATGCCAGGCCTGTAGATGGTGCTGTTCTCACAGAATCAGCCCATGCAAAGACAATGTTAAATTGAGCGAAATGAGGAATGACTAAAATGCATAATCTGTTTGGTATTTT